CAAGAATGTATGCAGAGAGTTCTTGCTAAATCAAAAAGGTAGGACTGAATATAGGTAGACCTGCAGAAAAATCTCTATCTGAGAACATTTCAATAGAGAAAACCCTAAATATGTCATAGTTAGTCATAAGATACAGCTAAAGCTATAGAAAATAAAAAAAAAATCAGAATGCCTATGAAGTCTAACAGCTAGAACACTTCCTAAAAATAGGTTCCTTCACATGCTAAAAAAATCATGGCCTAACAAGATATTCTTTATGTTTAACAGGTCTGTCACAAACAAACTCCTGAACAGACTCTGCCCAAACATCTGCTGAAAAAACCTGCAGTAAGATTTATGTCAGTAGAAAGCAAGAAAAACAAAAACAAGGAAAAAACCCCAGAATCTGACCTTTAAAACGCATTTTTTGTGTTTATTTGGGTATTGATTTAACCAAGTTTCTTTCCCTGTGTTGCTCAACACAGCTTCTGCACCACATGATGTCTAGTATGATGGTTCACTTTGGCTATAGAAATGACAGCCTGATTTTCCTTGGTTTGTCATTACAGAGAAGATAAATATGACAACAGGAAGCCAAAGGCATTTCTGCACTTAAAAGAGAGGAGAACAAAGTACCACTATTCCTTTCCAAAAGGTGTATCTCAGGAGCATTTCATTAGCCATCTCCTATGGCCTGGCACCGCTCACAGGTGTTGCATCAACATCAGGGGTTGGGTTCACAGTGCTTAAAGCAGCACGTAGGAGAGCTGAAAGGCTGCTCACCAACAAAGAGACTCATCCAGATTTCTCAGTTTTACAGCCTGTCAATTTTTCCCAGCCCATTTTTTAAATGAAAGAAATCAATTTCCTCAGTCTGTGTCTTAATACCCAGAGAACACACAGAGCCCTGCCACATACACCCTTTAGGATACCACAGATAATAACAAACATTTATTTCATTCAACTACCATTGCTTAATCTACCAGCAAAATCAGCATCATTAGTTTAAGCCTCCAGAGTTTGCTCAGACAGGAGCAAATTTCAGATTAAGTGTCCAATTATTGGCTCATAAAGTCATATTACTGGCATTTCCTTCTTAGCACAGTGTGGCTTAATTGGCAAGGGCCTTTTTTTGCTAGGACCAGCCTAATTCTGAAGAATGTCATCTGCCCTTCTGAACAACACATCACACTGCAGGGGAAGCACACTGAGCAACACCCTCCTGAATAAATCTGTCCTGCTCACAGCCATTAACACAAATCCCAGTCACTCTTCCCATCACCCCATATTGATGGCAGTGACGAGGCCACTGTCACTTGCTTTGGTGGCCATTAGTACCTTCAATTTTACTTTACTTTTTTAAAATAACAAATAATATGTCCAACAATGTATCAAGCTAAAGAGAGTGGGTTTTAATCTTCTTTAAGAAGCAGATTTGCACACAGGTTGACAAATAGCCACATGATTTAGCTGTATACAACATCCTATCATATGCTTGGGAGAACAAGATGAAAATATGTGACATTACCAATATGGATAAAGGTTTTAATGGCATAAATTTCAGATGGCCAGCAGAAAAAATATCCAGGAACTGTTAAGGTAGCTACCATGAATGACTGTTTTACAAACTCTTGTATCATAATACCACCACATTTTAGAAGCAATTAAAAAACTCAGAGCTCCTGATGAATTTTACTGGCAATCTGTCTGTAGACTAGGATCTATGTAGCCAAACTCCTTTTGGGTCATGAACAGAGATCACTAACATACACATGCATTATAAAACCTTCCACAGATATTACTATTTTTTTAACATTTTAGATAATTAAGATGGAAAATCACTTTAACCATTAAGCCTTCTCTACAAATATTAGTAACCTTTAATATACCAGTTTCAGATTGATATGACTTTTTTTTCCTGCTCTTAAAATAATGCTAAACTCACAAAAGAGCTTCTTTTTTTCCCACTTTACCTCCAAATCACAGTAGCCCAAAGGGCCAAGCAGGAAATATTAATTCCTAGACTCATAAACACTGAACATAACAGGGAAAAGACCTTCCAAAGGGACAAAGAACACCTGTGCTCCATTTTGATTGGGTTTAAGATCCTGTTCTTTCAATCAAAACACTCCCATGACAATTGTGGCAGGCAGGCAGTGGGGACACTAATTTGATCAGGACATAGACGCTGCTGTTTTCTTTGCTATCATGACAGGTCTGAGACTGTCAGCGTGACAACTCCTTTGTGAACACAGTTGGAGCCCTAGGTGAAAATCCCCAAAAGCAGATAAAGGCAGCAGTTGCACTCATGAAGTCAAACTGTGCACAGCTAAGTCTAAGTGCAAGATTATGGGCACGAATCTGCTTGACCCAAGAACATCCACTTACTGCAAAGAGTAAGTTACACCAAATACAGTGCTTCAGCACAAAGTGCATCCCTTCACCAGGCAGTGTGTGCTGAAAACTTATCCCATATAGTAAGTCCTACCTTTCCCTCTAAAACCTGTGTAACTGTGCTCAGAGTGATGGAGAAGTCTTGCTTTTATAGGCCAAGACCAGGAGGAAAAAAAAATAGCATTTTTACCAGATAGCCTACCTGTAAAACAACAAAATACCTGCAAGCCACAAAAGCCCTGATGATGTGGGTGAGTAGAAATGCTGCATTAACATTCATTGGGATGACTGACAGAAAACATTGATGCATTTGCTATGGATTCACTCACAGAAATTCAATACCAGAGCACAGCATCCTGCTCACACGGAATACAACCATCAAAGTGTTTTTCCAGGAGCACACTGCTGGTGATGACAGGCACAGTTAGGGGACTCCAGCTTGCCAACACCTTACACCTTCATCAAAGCTCAGGTGACTGTTGCAGGCTACAGTTTAGTAACAAAATCTAAATTTTACAACTTTCTTTGGAAATTCTTTAGGAAAAAAACACGTGCAATTCCCTAAATACTTAGGCATCCTTTTATTTGTAAAAAGTTCAGGTTTGGGCAGTCAGGGGCCACTGAGTAGTCAGACACAGGAGTTGAGAATATTTGCAGTCAGTGCCCTAGAACTGAAGAGGAAACATAGCTTGGGTTCAGCACTGGAGCCCAAATGCAAGGCAGAAGAAAGTAAGATAAAGAAGGGCATGAAACAACGAAAGCTCAAAAATGAGCTGAAACTGGAATTCCTGAAGCTCCAGTAGCAAACATCTATGAAATGCACTGGAAACATTCAGGCTGTATCCTTATTTCCAGTGACTCCTCCATATCATAGTTACAGCCTGTATTTAAGGGACTTATTTAAAACCATGTTCTCCAAGTTATATAGGCAATGCATCATTTCCTGAAGATAAGAACTGATTTATGAATCAACACAAGTGACTGCAGGGACAGAAGGACATGATACCAAAGGGGGTTTATGGCTCTTCTACAGTTCCAGGCTCAGATTGTTTCATAGATTATGACTTGTGATTCAAATTGAACTTTATATACAGTTACAGATCAAATTCTTCCTGTTTCTTGAGGTCCAAGCTAGGACAACACTAACCTGCAGATTTTTTATTGCTGCAATAAACATGTACAACTGAAGGAAATGTGAGAACACAATCTCAGTATCAGAAAAGCTAAAAAAACCTATCTAATTCTCCAAGGAGGCCAGTTTGGAGGCATCTACCATGGACAGAAGCAGCACATTTTATTGAAGTTACCTGTGCATCACTGTCCTGTCTATGCAGAGGGTGTGATACACTTTGTTCATCACAAAGTTTACATACAAAATTAAACTAACGTTTGCAAACCATTTATATACCACAGTGCAGCACCAGCAGAACTGAGCAAAGAACTAGTCATTCTGTGTTCTGACAGGTGTTTGAGTGGTACAGGAGACCACATGCTGAACAAATAACACAGCAGACTGAAAAGCAGTTCATTCAGAAGAGTGGTCCAGCGCAGAAGGGGCAAAGGGAGGGTGAGGGAGAAGGGGAAGAACCTGATCACGTAATTATAGCTTTCTGACAATGCAAACACACAACAAAGCCATATTAGGATTTTTTCATACACCCTTAATCCTGTTTTTTTCTTCATGATTAACTGCTTGATAGCTCTGTCATAATTTACAGCTATTTTTAAGTATTACAGACAAGCAACACAGCATGTCTCTGTGTGTCAGAAAAGAAATAAAAACCAGATACAATGCAATGTAAAATCTATTCATGTTTTTCTTCTTACAGCACACAGTCAGTGGATTCCATGACCACATACTACCGTTAGTAAACCAACATCACCATCTCTATATTTAACCACTTGCCTTCTCATTTAGAGAGCAGCTTATAAGGGTTCTGCATGGGAGTACAGAACAAACATTTCTCAGCAGTGATGGATTTTGCCAATTGCAATGAACATTCTTCACCATGTCACTAGCATCTGGTAGTTTCCATTTTTACATTGAAAACACTATTATTTGACAATTTCTGTACACAAGGTATGGCTTTGTTGTTGAGTAATCTTACTCTAACAGCAGCTGCTAATGAATCTACCTAACACAACCAGGAAATTTTCACAAATCCCAGACAACATCTTTAGCATTTATTGTTTTAAAATTATTATTCGTGCATACTTCAAGTTATCTCTGTCTGAAGTAGACACTCGAAGAGCTTAGAGAAAGCTCAGAGATAAGAAACTTGCAAAAATTATCCTATTACTTATACTGGGAAGGAGAGGGAGGGTAGGTGGGGGGAAGCATGAGTGACTCTGATTTGAAAGCAGCTGGCTTTATCCATCAGGAAATAACCCAGGTATCCTTTCATACCTTTGTGACATTATAATAACCATCATCTACTTCACTTTAATTAAGAATATATAAAATTTAATATTTTAGTCATTGGAGAATTATCCCCAAGTGATGTCTAGTAACAAATACAAACCAAAGGCCTCATTTAATCCACCTACTCCAGGGTTCAATTTCGCCCGTAACACGTAACTGGAATTGCAAGCGGATTTAAAGAGACCATGAGAAAGAAGGAACTCACCATTCTAACTACTTCAGGGTAAGTCTGCTCTGTCAAACAGCCTCTGCTTATTGTAATGTAGTCCACCAGTTCATTAAGAGTGGAGCGCTTGTATTCTTTCATTTTAAGGTCTGAAAGCGTGTCCATGAAGTCAAAAATGACACAGCACTGTTGAAGTTTCTTTAGGAACAGTTCAGGCTGCTCTGAAGATGGAACGTCTATGAAACAAGAAAGGAAATCTGTGTGAGTCTGGCATCTTATTATACAAAACAGGATTTCTTTTTGAAGATCAATTTCAAAGGGAAGCAACATTCATACAATTTTTGTAAAACAGAGCTCAGATTAACAAACGAACCACTTATAGGAACTGCATTACTATTGTGTGTTTGAGATCTTGAACATGTGGTAGAAGGAATTTAATCATCACCTGCTATTAGGAAAATAAAGTTCACCAGGCTGAAGTGGAGAATGCAAACACAACCTCATTCAAGACTTCATTGTACAATACACCACTACTTGGACTGCAGGCTGGCATTCACCATCGTTAACTTACACTCCAAAGAAGGATGAAAGAACTGTCAAACACATCAAGCTTGATTAATTTATATTTCTAAAAACACTGCGTCATTTATAACCCTACATGAATATACATGAACACATATATGAATACACAGGCAAGACTATAATTCCACAAACAAGTTTTCAGATTGAATCATTACCCCCACGTCGACACCTTCCATAGCAAAATCAATTTTACTGAAACAGTGAGGATTTATTTGCTGTACTATGAACACATAACATGCCTCACAGGAACATTTTCACCAAAAATATGCACTTGACCAATAAAGTAAGCAGAAAATACTACTTGCTGCTATTGCTCTGTCTCCTTCTCACCAGACAGAAGACTTAATAACAAAAGGAATGTGATCTTCTTAGTGGTTGGTTAGTTTACCAAATGCATCAAAAGAATACAGAGATAGCTTTGTTTACCCAATGTTCATGTAGAAAACAGGCTAACAACAGTAGAAAGTTGCAGAAATTAAATACACATTTTCACTGTGAAAGTTTGCCCTTAGACTAGGGAGCACTTCACTACCTTTGATCTATCTTTGTTTCTTAAGGCACTAATGCTGCCTTAGAACCAAAATCCAGAGAATGACCTTCCAAGCCACACACAATATGTAAATGAAAACTTTTAATAGCAAAGAATTGATGTTTATTTCCTAAAACTTGGACATACTATAAAAAGCCAGTCTGAGATGGAACTTCTCACTGCTGACAGAAGAATATGTCAAGTTAAGGAATACTTGGCAAATGCTGGAAGCTGTCAGTAATTGTATGGTAATTTTAAGTAGTTTTAAGGTTTAAGTATCATGGATCTGTTTTAATTAAACACAGTGCTTAAATTTAATTAAAAGCAGTGCTTAAACACTGAAAAGAATAAACATAGATTGCAGTACAAATAAAGATGCAACAGTTTATTCAACCTTTTTCTGTTTACAGCGCTGCAGCAGTGACAGGATTCAATAGGTAGCAAACTGCATCCTGCAAAGAAAAACCAAAACCTTGGAAAGTTGAATTGATGCTCTCAGGCAGCACACACCAGCCTCATATTCATTAGACTTGGGTACACTCTGCAGCAGCTGTGCCCAAGAGAAATTAAGGGGGGGGGGGGG